CCGAATGATGAAGAACAGATTAATTTTGTATCTCTTTCTCATGCCATGGACTGATATTTTTATCCAGGTTTTCTCCAAAGTAATGTTAAATGCCCGAATCCGCATCAGCCATATACTAATAAAATACTACTTTCCCAATGAGATTTGAATTTCTTCTTCATAAAATAATAATTTTCTCAAAGGATTTTTTAAAGCAAAAAAGGAAAGATTTTTTTGAGATTATGCAAAATTTTAAAATTTCTTCACTCAAGCATACCATCCAAAAAACACAAACTTCAAATTAAATCAAAGAAAAAATGTTCATTGCTCGAAAGACCTACATACATATATGTATGTGTACAGGACATTCAAGACACGAATACAATAATATAGCCAAAAGGCAGTGATTCCAGCGTTGGTATTTCTAACAGAACTTTAGGCATTCTCCAAACCCAATTTCTATACATGCACCTTCTTACATATACGTATATGTACCTTGAAGCACCAATCACTATGTATATAGAACATACGAACTATATACTCGTCTATATGTATGTAGCTACTAACGTTGAGCAATATCGCGCTGTTGCCGCCTGTCAGCCTGTCACCGGCGCTGACATTGATGATGATGTATTTTCGCTGACTCTTCACCGTCTCCAACTCGACATACATTTCTTATATTTATTTGGTTTGTAGATCCAGCTGATCTCTTGACTTAATTTAATAATTGTACTGTGATTTTTAAACATTTAAATACAGAAGAGATTATAGTACGTAGCATACATATAAGGTCTGTTCAAAAGAAAAATTGAATTTGGAATTTCGCTGTTAATGTTAGGTTAATCATTTGGTAATATTATCGTTAAAGCAGTAATCAAAATAAATTTGTTTGTGGTTTCTTCCTGGAACAAAATGCTATCGTTAATGTTGAATCGTTAACAGATAATGTTAAATCGTTAGCAGATAATGTTGAATTTGGTAACAGAAATGTTAAATGTTAAAATTGAAGTGTGCTGTTAATATCATAACAAACTGTTATTTTGAAACTAACGTTAACGATGCGTTTTTGCGGTTTCAACATTATTTCGAGAAGTTTATTTTTCGATTTTTGACTATCGAAAAAATGGATTTAAGAATATGTTATTAAATTTTGCGTTAAAAATGGAATAGAGTGCTTGAAAGGCACTTGAAATATTGACACTGGCATTTGGCGAGTACACAGTGTCTCAAAAAATTGCTTATAAGTGATTTATAAGTTGTACAAGCGCTTTACAGAATAACGATGAGAGTCCGATTTTTAACGCATGTTTTGAGGACGAAAATTTGACAGCGAAGTTTATTTTTAGCAAAAACAACATGGATTAGAAGTTATTGATTGACACAGCTCGAAAGGGTGACGAAGCGTCGGTATATGGTTAGGACATTGAAACCAAGGCCCAAACATGCCAAGCTGTCGACAAAATCGAAACGCGCATTTCTCAAGTGTTTCGAAGATTGGAAGAAGCGCTGGCATAAGTGGCTTATATATGAGAGGGATTATTTTGAAGAAAACTTATGAATAAAGAAATACTTTTCAGAGAAAATTGAAAGCTCATTTTTTCTTTCGAACAGAACTCGTATATCATAACAAATGTAAGCCCAATAAACGTGAATATCTATGATTATTTAAAAATTTGATAAGTAAATACAAGCAAAAAAATAATAATAAATGACAATTTTTTTTAAGAGTGTTGAAGGCAAGTTATTGTATTCGTAAATTCTTTTGCTTTATGAGGATTTAAGTGTGCATTTTAACAAATTTAATTTAACACTTGACTAAATATCACACGCCACGACCGTGCAGGAAAAAACTTTATCAATATATGATATATTCATAAGCACTCTTGTGTTTATTTCTTTTAATATATATATATATATTATTTTTTTTTATTTTTTCAATAATCGAATATTGAAAAATGTTCATATGTCAGCATTCAGCACTCAACAGTCAATAGCAAATTGCTGCAAATCATCAGGTTGACAAATTCTCGCAGCAAATACAATTTTGTAGGGAATTAAATTTTCGCTTGAGTTTTTGCAGCCAAAAAAAATTGATCTTGTTTTTTGACAATATTTCATAAATAGAAGTGCTTTGCAAAATTAAATTAAAAAAAAATTAAATAATAACTGTGTATTTTTAATCCAGCGCAAACAAACAATACGAAGCCATGAAAAAGTTACCGTATTTATAGTATTATAGCAAAAGTTTATTAAAACGTTTGTATGTTTTTACGAATTATTCATATTTCTTTTGATTGTTTTCAAGTGGATTTTATCTGCTTGTGTATGTTTAGTGAACTAAATTTTATTTTCAAGGATTTAAATTCCAAAACGATCAACTTCTTGTATATTCTGCTCTTTGTAACTTTATCTGAATATTAAATAATTTTATTTGAACATACATATTGCTCGCTAGAACTCAATATTTTAGCCATAATTTTGAATTTTCCATATACATATGTACATAAATTGTTATTGGTAAAAAAAAATAATTCAACGGAACGACGTGGAATTTTCGAAACATGTCGCAATTACATAAGTTTGTGCACTACTGAACAATTTACTTGTTATTGCTTGAAAACCCATCTAAAGGAACGAAGGGGAATTTTCGAAACATTTCGCTATATATGTTAAATTTTTTTTTTCTACAATATCAAGGCCATGCAAGTATATCTGAAACAATTAGACTGTATAAATTAACTCTTTTTCTCACTTATTACAATTTCATCAGCCTCTCTTAGCTCTAAGTACAGCTATAAATTGTGGTTGCTGCCAGTAGTTTACATACCATTTATTTTATTTTATTTTATTTTATTTTATTAGCTAAAAATTTTAAAGGGAACGCTTTGGAATTTTCGAAACATGCCAACATTTCTTGATATGTTCTTAAAATTGCATGGTGTGTACAACATACAAAAAAACATCCAAAACTATCCATAATAATATTGTTTATTAAACTCTTGTTTAATACACATATATACATACACATATGTACACTTGATAACTTTTAATATGATTTTCACATGACCAGTAAGATTATTATGGCCGGTCAGTGGTTTAGTGAAATTGCTTAAATATGTTCGATGGAACGAAATGGAATTTTCGAAACACTTCACGATTTACGCTGAAATATACTTTTCGGAAATAAAATTTTTTGTTTTGCTAATTGTATTATTGAACAACAGAAAAATCCAAAATAAAGAAAAAAAAAAGAATTTAGAGCTTATATCTCGTTAATATTATAGGACCAAAATAAGGTATTTGATTTTCAAAACTTTAAAAATGTATAATAAGCATATATTTATTATATACAAATACTTACATAGCATAAATGAAATTTGTGGAGAAATTTTTATCTATAAAAAATGTATATTGGCGTACAAATTCCGAAAGTTTAAAACGTTTAAAATATGCAGAAAATTTTAAAATATGAAATATGCAGCATCACATATTCAATTCATTTAATTTTATATAAATAACTTTTATTTTCATTAATTATTAAATTTGTATATATGTAACATATATTCATGCTAAATTTTATTTTAAAACAGGCCAGTAATTATAAAAGAATTTGCCAAAAACAAAATATTGAACTTTCAATAGTTAATAAGCTTCAAATTCAAATACCTGCTGTCCGAATTATACGCGATTGAAAATTAATTTATTTTTAATCTTTGGTTTGACACAACACTATAACGTTGTAATTTTATATATATTTAATACCCTGCAGATAAACCTCAAACTAATCGGGAAAAATGGTAATTTACTGCTGAGAATTTCCTGATTGAAGTCTTAGTAGTTGAAAAAGTAGCAAAAAGTTTTTTATTACTGTTTCAAATTAAAAAACTATTGATTGAAATTAAACAATCGGATAGAATGAGTTAAAAAATGGTTTATTCAATATTTAAATACTGTTTTTATTATTATTTTTCATTTTCCCTTTTTTTGCTGTAATACCTTGCAACAAAGAAAATGTTATTTTAATTTTAAATAAAGTAGTCATATTACTGTTCATATTTAACTAGTATGAGACTGGTTCTGTCTGAAAACATCCCCTTTTCAGCTAGTAGACCAACTTAGCCTAACGAATACTCCTCCTTTTGGTATAGAAAAATGACAGTTGATTGACTAGTTGAGCTTGTTTGGCATAACAGTTTTAAAGCGAGTTATAAATAGTTTATTTTATTACATATATGTTTATTTATTTTCAAAGTAAATCCTTTTATATTTTGCGTATATTTGAAATGACTACAAACAAAATTCTCAATTTCCCTACTGTTACAACGAAATGCCAACTAGACATAATATAATCGAATACCGCAAAATCCTTTGCGGAAATTCTTTAATTTATTAAATTTCCACTCAACTAACGGTTATTCAATTAAATTTTGTTATTTGTTTCATTCGTGTATCTTTGAGTGATTCCCCATTGGCAATTTGTTGGCAATAATTTCCCCAGCGTATAAACATTTTTCATGCGTTATATGGATGTATGTGTGAGTGAGATCAAATAAGGAAATTCATTCGTTTTGTTTGCATATATAGATTTTGTATCTAAAATGTGCGATTGTAAATAGTTTGATGAAATATAAAATATTTTATTTAATACAAACATATTTTTGTTTTTCTCATTATCCCTTTTTCTCCACATCGATTTTATCACCGACAATCATGGCTGGCTGTCTGTGCAATTTCCGTTTGACTGGCGTAAATACTGACAACATGCAATGCTGATATGAACCATCCAACCAACCAACCAACCAACCAACCAACGAACCAATCAACCAATCAACCATCGAACCGGCAATGATGACGCTGCCAATGTGGATAATCTTGATAATTTTGATGATGGCATTGATGACACCACCAACAAACAAACTCATAACTTTTACCAATACCAATATCGACAATGCTATAAAAACAATAACAACAACAACGCCATATAAACAACAAATTGGCGATATATGGATTTGTTGTGACAGGTGTCCCTTCACAGCCTAGTAATTTCCGGGCCACCGATATCGGCGAGACCGCAGTCACATTGCAATGGTCGAAACCGACACATTCCAGTGAGAATATCGTACACTACGAATTATACTGGAATGACACATATGCAAATCAGGATCATCACAAGTGAGTACAACGCATAGCTATTTAAATATGTGTATATATATATATACCGGTACACACATTATTTATACGTAAATATCTCTCTATTTATATATATTTTTATATACATATGTGCATGCTATATATTATAGATATAGACAACAGGATATTGGCACTAATATTGCGCACATTCAATTAAAACCCACATACAAATATACACACACCATCTAATCAAATACTTATCGATAGCGACAATTGGCACGTGCATTTCGATTTTCATTTGCCAAATTTTCGCTAGGTATTGTATTTGTATATGTGTGAGTACAGGTTTACTCATTGTAATTGCTGATTGAAATCTTTTTAGTAATGCATTGATATATAATATTTATATTCAAACCTACATACTTATGTGCGCAATATTAGTAAAAACCATTGGACAGTGACCACTAATGCACAGGAAATTATTTATATTTTCACAAGGCGTTCATACTAGTTGCTAAAAAAAATCCAAAAATTAAAAAAAAATGAAAGAATAAAAATAAAAAAAAAATAAAAAAAAATATCCAAAAGAAATTGTCCAGAAATGCATAAGTAAAATATATAAATGCAAGGAAAATTAAATAAATATATTTATGTGTTGGATTATTACTCTGCTACTTTTCGGGTTCCAAGTAAAACACGCTTGCTTCTATGCAATTCAGTATAATAAGTATATGTGTTTATTCAACGGTTAGAAATGAAGGACTGACAAAATGTTTTCGGCTTCAGTTATTTGAAAAACATTACAGGGTTGCATAATATGTTAGTTGCTATTAGGGTTACATTTCAACAGTATGTTACTTCAAATATCCAAAACAAAAAAACTTACCTTAACAGAAGCCGTAAATGCGCCCACGTCACTGTTGATGATCGATTCTTCTCTCGCGGGTCTTTTCTAAGATTTGGCAGGTCTCGAGCTCAGTGTTCAATCAGTTTTTTAACCTTACATGCAAAGGCAGTTTGGTACACTTTTTCATAAATTAGGTCGTGCGATCATATTCTGCAAAGAAGCTGAGGCATGACCTGTGCTGTTTGAATAGCTCCGCCGATAGGCCATTTGCTCTAGCCGCAAACGCTATTGTAGTCTCAACGAAAAATATTTCGTGTAAAGAGAATTTAAACGAGTTCACAATTATAAATTATAATTAATGTTCCCAAATATTTGCCTCAAAAGGTAATTCGCAAAGATACAGCCTTTGCCAAAAGTATTAGGCACCCCAATAATTACTGAATTTTTTGCGTTAACAAGTGAAGTAATGAAGTATTATTAGTAAAACAGTGAAAATACAACGAATTAGTGATAATAACATTAATATTTAGTAGGTCCACCCTTCGATTTAATAGCGGCAACGATTTTCTACATGCAGCCCCAGATCATAATGCTGCCTCCTCTATGCTTAACAGTAGGTACCACGCAATCTGGACGATATTCTTCCCCAACCAGTCGCCTCGTGAAAGTAGCTATAATAAGAAACTCGTCATAGTTTTACGCAAAAATTTTTAAGAAATTGAATTCCAATTACTCGTCATAGTTTTCCGCAAAAATTTTTAAGAAATTGAATTCCAATTACTTCAACAAAAATTTATAAGGAAATTAGACAGTGTTAAAAAAAATTCCTGTGCATTTAATTTGTAATTATATAATTAATAAAACAAATTTAAACTAAACATCAAGTATACTTAATTGATTTATCTTCACACACTAAATTATAGTGTTTTATTTAGTGTTTTATTTTACAATACCATACCTTTTAATAATTTTTTTTTATATTTTTTGTATTTAAAACACATAATAATACTTCTCACCCTCCAAATTTTCTTAAGGCGCATTTCGAATACTGAATCCTATACGCTTGATGGTCTCTATCCTGATACCCTTTATTATATATGGTTGGCGGCGCGTTCACAGCGCGGCGAAGGTGCAACAACACCACCCATACCCGTCCGTACGAAACAATATGGTAAGTAGAATTTTCATGTTTTTCATTTGTTTTATTTTTTTCATAAAACTAAATAACTATAAATATCGTAGAGAAAAAGTATAAGCATTTCATATAAATATGCAATAAATTATGCAAACATATAATATTTAAGAACAAAATAATATAATGAATATGCAGCATAAAAACGTTTATTTTAACAATACAAATACCAAAAAAAAATCATGCGCTGTAGTAGATACATTATAACATAATTAAATAAAAAATTTACAAAAAATATATACAATATACTCAGCGTCTATGTAGAGTTATCAAAGACATACACACATTTTTATACAACAAAAACAAAAACTTAGTTTAAGTAACTCGAAAGAGCCCTAACAAATATGCAAACACTTAAATACCCGTAGTGTAAAAATATTCTGTAGTAGACCACTAATCCCATCCTTAGACAACTCCTTTTTCCATTAATTCGAAAAGAAAATACTTACTATGTAAAACCTAAAACAACTTGAGTTGCAAACTGAAGCCTCCGTGGAAAATAAGGTAAACAATAAAAGTGAAAAAAGTATGTGTGTATGGGTACTACAACAGAGTGTGTAAAATGGAAATGTGTGTATTGTGAGGCATAAAGGAATTTATTAAAAATACTAATTTAAATTTAATTATATTAAAAAATCTCATACGCATATTGTATAAGTTTCGGTATTTGGTTTATTATTAGAAACGATTTTTTTTTACCATTAAGTTCTGTTTTTTTTCTTTTAATTCTAATCATAATAAAAATAATTCTATTTTATTTATTTTTCTGTACATATATATGTATATTTTAATTTAGTTCCTAACATATTAGTATAAATATTATTGGTTTTTAATTTATTTTATGCAATACATACAAAACATAAAGTTAGATTTATTTTTTAAACACCAAACATACATGCATACAAATATAATTACTCAAAAAATATCCAAGATATATCAATAAACATTTTAATATTATTTTAAACATATTTATAAAATTACATATGACTATACATACATATTTAAATGTAATATATTTATGTAAATACATTTATGCTTTAATCAAACTTAAGATACAATAGAGACAACATATTTCGTAGCTATACATACGTACATGTAAATATGTATATACATATATATACACCCACAATTACATAACTACATAAACCGTACAGATATATAAATATCTCTGAATTTGCACTTTCTACGACTTTCACAACTTGTTTTACACAATTAACGCTTTTACAAAATACAAAGCTTACTAATGATCTTAACTAATGATCTTAACTAATTAGAATCAGAATGTATTTGCTCTAGCACAATGTGGGCCTCATTAGGCATTTCCACGACAGCCCTATCTCGTGTTTCTCTCTCAATCGTAATTCGCATTCCAAATACATGCCGAATTATTTAATACGCCATACAAATTTTCGTTAGCGAATTACAGTAAAAGTTCTCAATTGCCATGGGAATTACGACGAAATCAATATCTACTCTAATTCTTATCGAAACTCGAAACCAGCTGACAAATCAAAATAAAAGAGATGAAAATCATAAAAGGAAACACTAATACACAAACATTTATTTGAAAATCAAACACTAATTGTATATTAAAGAAGTACAAATTAGAAATTACTAAAGAAACTGGTAATAAATTACCAATTCAATTCAAAATTTTTAACTTCTACTAAAATTTTTCATTTTTCATGCGTTTTAAAATGAAATAAACAAACGAAACCGAAAACTGTCAAATTGCGGGGGGTAATTCGCATTCGTAATTGAGGGGACGAACAACGTATTTTATGATACCGTGGAAATGCCGTATTACGATAATCGATTGCCTACCGATTGCTTTCTAATATTTTGGTGTATTCTCGAACAATTGCTTGCTCCAACACATTTCTAATACCATATGGTTCTAGTTAAAAATGGCCCAGATAGAATAGTTCATTTATGAAATGAAGTATTGCACACGAATTCTTACAAATTCATGGTTCTCAGAAGCTTTATGAAACCGAATGGCAAGTTTTGTTGGTCTTTATGGCATACAATCAAAGTTGCCACCATGCTCTACATAATACGTCGCATTAACCTTGGAAGCAGTTTCGACTAAAGCGTTTGGGGCAAGTTCATCGACATTTAGAGTTTCAAATGTCATTATTTGAGATGATATACTTTACCTTGCGTATTCATACGTAGCCTCAAATTATCGGAAATCAATTCAATCAATAATTTTGAGAGTTTTATTCGCTGCCCAATAAGGAAATTTTATTCCTTAGAGCATACATTGCTTGGAGTTTTGCCATGTTCATGCAAGCATAATAATTTTTGGGCTTTTTCGAGATGGACTTAATGTACCTTTGGTGTTAAATCGTGTTTCTTGTGTATGGTTTACGTTGTGATGTTTTTCTAGCAAATCGTGGAAACTACAATGCATTATGTGCCGCCTCCGAACGGCCGATGGACTTCTATGAGAAGCTTTTTATCTGATGTACACTCAGAGGGCTTAACATTCTATAATTCTTGAACCCTGGTCATTTGAATTTTAGTATGCAATGCTAATCACTTGGCTTATCTACCATATAATACGTGAGCTACAAAAATTTTGTGCTTTGCAATTTTTATTAAAAAAACACAGATTTTGCTGAATGATGGAAAGTCACTTCATTCACATGGCTGCAGCGCCTGACCTTGAAATATTCCGTCGGTCACATTTTTTACCACATTTTTGCTTCTGTAGCCCTATGATGACGTCAATGGCGAGTTCAATTTCGTATTTCAAGGCTGGGATCGTCTTTACTGGATGGATACTAATTATGCTTTATGGTTCCACAAAGAGTCAACTTAACTTCATAGTTTAGGTATATTATGTAGTTTTTAAACACACTGCGCTTAAGATGCTTCAATAGGAAAGTTTTGCTAGTGAGTGTAGCTGCCGAAGTGAAATTTGCTTTGCCAGAAAAAAAAATGTTGGTTAAAACTTTAGAGATTTTAGTCTCAATGGGGCGATGCGAAATCGCATCGGTTGGTGATGAAGCTTCAATTATTGGACGAATTGGACTTCAATAGCCTTCATACCAAGGCCTTTAGGCAAAGTCCGACATAAAGAAGTAAGCCAAATTTTTAATCTCTGCAAATGCAGTCGGCGAGTTGATTTTGACAGCAATCATTCATATTTTCTCAAGATAAACGACATGCTGAATAGCAAGCCAATACAGATAACACTCTCTATAACTATACTTTGTAAAAATATAAAATATTGTGAATATTGAGAAGTGAACAAACATGCCTGAAAAATGTCTAGAATTGAATAATATTTTAATTTCTTATCACACTTCATTTTATAGGTGTAAGCTTCATAAATTATTTTTCTAAAATTTTGGGTATTTGTCTTGAATTTCTTCACTCAAATTACATAAGATTATACTCTTCATTAACTGGAAAAAGGTCGTATTTTCAGAACACTTGAAGCTAAGCTATGTAATACTTTATGATTTGATCGAATTTGGCATGCTCTTCTTCTCGGCCTTGGTTCTTCCGTTGTGATTATAGGACTTTTACATCGATATCATAACTATATGCCCAGCATTTGTCCCTAACTATGACTCTTTCAAGCATATTTATTCGAACCATTATCTGTTGATCAGGCGACGGCTTCGCATTAGAATTTCCGAACCAAGCCCTCGGAGCTTCTGGGGAGTCGCTATCATTGTGTGAACAAAACAATTCCCCTTTTGTTGGCGCTTCTGGGCGATAGCTTCTTTCAATATAATTTTCAAAATATTAAAAAACGCCTACGCCTGTCTAAGAAAATATAATGTATATAATTACATCACCAAATTTACTTCACCTTACTCTTTACATAGAACTCACTGTTAAAATTCACCGCCACTATACCACCATTTTTTTGTTTAGTATTATTATTATATACATACTTACTACTTGTAAGTAGTCCAAAACAAAACTCAAACAGTTGTAATTTTTTTACTTTCGAAAACTCTAAATATTTGTTGTTTTTTTTTTTTTGGAATTTTCTTAAACTTTTAAATTTTTCAATTTTCTCAGTGAGTCATTTGTAAATGTAGTACGTGCGTGTGAGTGAACGTGAGTGAGATAGAGTGTATTATGAAAACCCAAAAGAATTATTTCAGCACTAATACCTCAGCACTTAAAAAAAGAAGCAAATTTAGAAAAATTTCTAAAAAAAAATAGAAAAAAAAGAAAATAAAATAAAAAATTAACCAAATAAAATTGCATGCATGTGCAGGAGTTTTGTACAAAAGCACCAGAAGTAAAAACAAAAAATTAAACCAGGTGAAGAATTAGCACTAACAAAAAAATACAAATTTTTGTATTGTATGTAATTTATGCATAAAATCAATTATTTATATTATATATACATATATATATCGATATAATTAACATATTTATATGAAAAATAATAAAATTGAAAATTTTTTTTAAAACACCAGCACTTGCACCAGCACAAAAAAGCAGCACCCACTCGCACCCACTTATGCTATATATATTTATATATTTATAGATATATTTATTTTTTCTTTTTAATTCAGTGTGTCTTTTCGTTTTTTTTTTATAATTTTTATTGGACATTTGTATTTTCGTATTTGCTATTATATTTTCTGAGTATCGTATTTGCTTGAAAGTTGTAAATATGTTGCATGTAATTATTTGCCTTTCAACAATATTGTCGGCTATTAACTTTTTAGTACGCCTATAAGTATGCTTTAAATAATATGTTAGTTTTCAGTGAATAATTGCAGTTTTTATATCATAAATTTTCGTGCGTTCAAAGTATTTTGATTTATTTTAAAGTGAACATTTCATTCATTTTCAAGATTTTAATTTTAACTTATTTTTTATTTTTTATTTATTTTATTGATCTTTATTAAGAAATTTTTGTTTCATTAAATCACGACTTTAATCAAAAGTTCGTCCTACTTTGATGCTATCGAATAGTTGTGCCAAAAGATGTCTAAGAAGCACTTAACGCCTAATTATACAGGGTTAACCATTTTGCGGTTTCGAAAATAAAATGAATTCAAAATAACTTTTGTCACGAAATTCCTTTTTAATAATAAAGTCGGTAAATGTATGTGAAACCCTACGCCATTGAAATGGCTGCCTCGCGAATTTTTGCAAACTTCGATTCATTAATAGCATTAACCAGGAACACTATTTTTTCTAAAATTCAAGCCAATAAAAGTATTTTTTTTTTTTGTTTTAAAAACATTTCACAGCCGTAATAATCATAAATTTATAAGTAATTTGCACTTATTTCGCTTGAAGCTTTGAAGACAAAAAAATAAATATAATTAAATAAAGTTTCTTAATATGAAATCAGCACAATGGATTATATATATATATATATAAATATATATATATGTATCTATATTTTTTTTTTAATTTATTGTTTTTTTTTTCATTGTACTGCTCTTGTTTTGTGCTTTTAAAAGCTTTCTTCAAACGCCATTCGCGTCAATTACTCACGCTCAGTTCATTGGGTTCATCAACATGTTGTTTTAATTTATTTTTATTTTTTTTTCGTTCTTAAATTTTTTGTGCACATTTATACAATTGAAAAATTGAAAAAATGTGTAGATCGCATAGTAGATATGGTTTAATTAATTTAATTGTTATTTTTCAATAAATTATTGGCATTTCAGTTTTATCTACTGTCGGTCCTTATATTATTTATTTTTGATTAATTTTTGTTTTTATTTATTTTTGTTGTTGTTAATGTAGTTAAGCATTTGTAAGGGTCAAAGTTCAATTTTCATTTTATTGGCGGCAAATATGCGCTTTGACAGCTTTCTGTTAAAGTTTTAACACTTTTTTTGCAATCAATATTGTTATTATAGTTTTTTTTATTGTTAATATAAATGCGCACAAAATTGCTGAGTTAATTAGCTGTTTGCAAATATTATTCAAGTGCATGTTTTTTAATAATTAATTTGCTAAACTTACAGTTGGGTTTCTCTTTTTGTGTTTTGCTTTTTCAAAGCTTGTTTAATTATCTTTTTAAAATTGTTTCATCCTTTTATATTTAATTTTAATCTACATATTTGTATGTAGGTGTGTTGCATGGCTTTTTGATATTTGATAATAATGATGATTATACAATTTTTACAGCTTATTTAACGCAATATTAAGTCATTTATTTTGTGTAAATATAAATTAAGTTCTTTTTTTGCGTTTAACAGCACTTTTTTCGGTTTTATGGAATTGGGAAAGCATTTTTGTATAAACAGAAAATATTTTATTCAATAAAAACTTGTACCTACAGGGTAGTCCATTTAATTTGAAAGGATTTTTTCTGAGAAAAACATATAAAAAAAAACATTTTTTGTTTGTTTTTTTTTTTTTAATTTCACTTTGAAGTCGTAGATAACTTCGTCTCTCTTGGAACCATCCACAACAATGTCAGTCTGCAAATTTACCTTACAGTCGCTCTTGCCAACAGGTGCTACGCCGGGCTGGGTAAGCAATTGAAAAGTACAGTCCTCTCTCGACGAACGAAAACCAAACTCTACAAGTCACTCATCGTTCCCGTCTTGCTACATGCGATTACAACATCTGATGAGTCGGCGTTAGGAGTTTTCGAGAGAAAGGTTTTTCGAAGATATACGCTCCTCTACGAGTTGGTAACCGCAAATACCACAGCTGGTAGAACGATAGTATGAGATATATTTGCTGCCTTACGAAGGGAACAGTCTTTTACCAAAGCATCCATGTTGCATACTGAAATTTTCTTAACTACTGAGAATGCACTTAAGAGCCGCTGTAAGGCCTAATGAACCTTTCCTTTTGCATTTGGTCGTATTACGACGTACTGTTTACTGGTGTTTTAACTGTTTACCTTAACCTATATATAATTGGAACTTTGTAATGGTTAGAGAGATTTTCGGGCGAGCACCTTCTCAAATTGGTGGCTTTGCGTCTTGATGTTTTTTAAGGTTTGTGTGTTACTTATATTTATTGTATGAACGTTCTAAGAGTTAGAGATGAAACGGAGCCAACATCTATCGTTGCAATCGCAGTTTTTTCACACTCAAAGGAATGGCGAATAAAAGGACGTGTCCCTATTTGTACAATCGAATTTCTCAACCTTTTCTTTGGGCCATTTTCCACCAGCCAAATCTTACGCCATAGACAAAAACAGGTAATAATCACGTTGCGCAAGGTGCGAACTATTAGGCGGAGCTTCTAACGGGTCACTATGGATGCGGGTGGTCTGGCGTTTTGCTAATATAAAACATTTTACCTCCTGCTTTTTCTGATATGGGGCTTTGGCCAAACCTTCGTAAAAGAGCATCTATGAGTATGAAATTTAGTGTCATACATTCGTATTTTCAAATAAACCTTTTCTGTGAATTCGGAGGAGTATGTACAATATATCATCTCTCCCAACGGATTTCTTTGAATATGAAATTTTTGATCAAAAATCCGCCAAATAATATAGATAAGAAGGGGGAAATAAGAATGAAAGAAAATATTGTCGTGCAGTTGAAAGAATATACAAAACTTCTTCCTTCAATTTTGCATACGCTTTTTATAATTATTTCAAAATATTAATATTTCATTTATTTTTCGTTTAAAAGTTAAAACGCTGGTAGAAAGTAGCAGCATATTTTTATATATACATCTACTTATTGTTTCTAAGTATTGCATGTTTTTCGTATTATTTTATATTATTTTAAGTGTTTTTAGTGTGAATTCGCTTTAATAAATATTCGATGTTTCTTCATTTAATAGTGTAGGCTATTTTCATTTTTTTTTTAATTATTATAAATTTTCCACCAGAAAACCTTAGTTCTACGAATTAATGAATATTTAAGTTACCCTTAAGTTATTTGCGAAATTTTTGTTACCAAATTTTTATATCCCTACCCAAAATGGTTTATGCAAATTAAATTTAAAAAAAAAATTCTAAAAATAATTGTATAATATTTAAAACAAAAATGTCCTTTAATCCAGCGTATGTGCAGTGAATTTAATGTGTCAAAATATTTTGATTTTTTTTATATATAAATGCCTCTTAATAAAAGATAATTCAGTTGAATCCTCAAGTATGTATTTTTGAGTTTCGCAATGCCCTACTTACAAAAGCACCCTCGCCTTGTCTCACTCAATAAAGTGTTTTTTTTTCACAATTTATTTTATTTTATTATTTTTTTTTTCTTAAAATTTGCACAATTTCTCTCACTTCTCTCTCTCTTTCTCTATTTTTCTATTTTGCGTGCTGCATGTTTTTTTGAAATTTTGAATTTATTTCTTTAATAAATCCTGAATGTTTCAAGTGATCAAAGCTAATATTTATTTTAAGCAAAATGTGTGTTTATAGAAAAAACCCAAAGAGCACAAGCAAGTCATAAGTAAAAAACGAACCAAATATGTGGGAAAAAATTTCACATGATGTAATTTTTCATTTTTTTAGTCTAGACGCACCAATTTCTTTAGCTCCACTATTGTTTTATTTGATATGTATGAAGTAAAAAAAAAAATATATATATACTTTTATATATATAAATAAATTTGCATTTTAAATCAATATGAAATATTTAAATGCAATTTATGCTTTAACTAAAGTGTCAAATTCCTCTAAATGGAATTAATTTAAAACGAAAAATGTTTTAAATAAAAATGAACCAAAAAATATGCGCAAAATTTTCACGTACACAATAATGAAAAATTTTCAAAAAATTGCAATAAAAAAATATTTAAAAAGAATTGAAATGAAAATTAAGTATTTTCAAAAAAATCGGCGACATTGGAAATGTTGAAACTTGCATAAACCATTGGTGATTTATTTTATGTGAAGTTATTTAACAAAAAAAAGAGTTTAGTTTGTGTAAGCATTTTTATTAATTTAATTTTATTTTATTGAAATGCTAAGCATTTTTTTTTGTAATAATTCATTTTAATTAACCAATTGTATGTATGTATGATTTGCTAATTTATTTGTCATGTTTTCCTTTCTTTTCTTTTCATTTCGTTTCATTGCTTTTGCGTTGCTTTTGCGATCCATGTTTATTGCGTTTGCGTTTCTCTTATGCTGGATAAACAAACAACAACAATTATTATAAAAATAACATATTAATATTATTAAACGAAAAAAAAACAACTAAATTCATAAACCACAACAACAATATTGCAAAAATACAACCACATTTTGGCTGCTTTTACAATAAAATCAAAAATAAAAACCCCCAAAAAACAACAAAAATCAACTGAATTCTCCAACAAATCACAACTAAAAAACATTACAATCAATCACAAAAAAAAAATCACAAAAAAAATCACAAAAAATACAAAAACAAAAAAAAATACAACAAAAATCATACAAAAAAATCCACATCACAACTGTCACAACAAACAAACCGAAAAAAAAATCCACCTACATTTAAATTTAAACCGCAAAACCAAACTTGTACGTTGTTCCATTCCATTCCGTTCCGATTTCCTCCACTTAGTACCAGGTGCACCGCCACGCAATATCACTGCCATGGCCACCAGCCCCACAACAATATCCGTCTCATGGTTGCCACCGCCTGTGGAACGTGCCAACGGCCGTATCATCTATTATAAGGTTTTCTTTGTCGAGGTGGGTCGTGCCGATAGCGAAGCGACCATAATGACTTTGAATAAGACACACATCGTCTTGGATGAATTGAAGCGTTGGACCGAGTACAAAATCTGGACGCTGGCCGGCACCTCAGTGGGCGATGGGCCGCGCTCGCATCCAATTATTGTACGCACGCATGAAGATGGTATGTATTGTTTGTTAGGCGAGTTCGACTCGCATAAGTGAATAATTTTTTTCTATTATTTTAATTGTTTTATTTCAATTAAAAAAAAACTTCATTTTCTACAGTAGTGCAGAAATATTTATTATTTTATTGACACTTTTTATGAGTTTCAAACAGTTTTTTATATATTATTGACTTATACTCCAAGATTTTATTTTTCTTTCAATTCTAAAAAAATTATGCATGTATTTTCAAAACACTTTTTTAACACTTCAATACTTTTTATGGGTTTTAAAGAGTTTTTTATAATTATTTTTTTTAGTAAAATAAGTTTTTTATGATTTTTTTTTTAATGTTTAACAATAATTTATTCTAAAAAAAATATTTTTCATTTGAGCTAATTTTGATTTTTTTTTAAATGTTAGCAAAACAATAAAGTTCTGAATTATCGTTAAAAAAAATTCTTTACGTTTTATATTAAAAATTTTCGAAACCGAAATAAATTTCTTTTGTATTGAAACAAACTTCTTTGCATATTTTTATTTTCCACAGATTTAAAGAGAATTTATAATTATGTTAAAAAATAAAAATATTTTTTTAGAAATGAAATTCTCCGCAATTTTATTTTAATTTTTTTTAAATTTTTTTTTTAATATTTTTTTTTAATTAATGAATATTTGGAATTCATAAAATGTATTTTTTATTATTTTAAAAAACATTCTTTATACATTTAACACAGCAATTTTTTCTACACATTTTTGTATTTGCTGAATCTTACTTTGTACTAATGAAATGTTGACATTTTTGAATTTTGTCTTGACGTCACCAAAATGCGGCATATATTTTTGGATATCAGCAAAAAAAAAAATACATTAACAAATTTTTCCCTTCAATTAAATTTTTATAGGCATTTCAGTGTTTCGATGGCGCGCTGACAACCGAATTTTTGATGTCAACGTCATAAAAAAAAATAATTACATATAAACATATATATCTTATATCTATATAACCCCATTCATATTTAATATAACCACATAATCATATAAAAAAATAACAAAATATTTGATATATTTTTTGTGTAGTTAACAATTTTTTTTTGTTAGTTTGTTACTGTTATTATTTTCTTTATTGACTTTCTGTTTAGTCAAAAAAAATCAGTTGAATTGAAATTTTTTTTGTTTATTTACAAAAAATTTAATATCTTTACAACATTTTCACATGGAAAAAACATTAAATTAATAGAAACTTTTATCAGTACCTTACGCTGGGACTAGAGAAATTTCTATTTATTTTGGGACGAGAAAAGGGTTGGGCTTTCCTCAAGAAATTACTTGACTTGATTTAAAAAAATCTGAATTAAAGGATAATAGCTCGTCTATAATGCCATTTATCGTATATATAGATAAAATTTCTAGAATTTTCTTGATTTCTAACGTTTCACTTTTCCAACCAAAAGCTTCAAATCATATTGTTAATGTTCTTAATTAGAAAAAAAGTACTTTTTGATTGCAGCGTCACCTATTTAATTTATAAACAAATTATTAACTGGAAATAAAAGTTAGAAGATTAGAGAAAATTATTTATGATTCCGTAACAAATTTGTTTTATCTAAAATATCTTGATTAGTAACTACTAAATATATTTCTTATACCCCAGTGACACTCCTTTTGGTACTTTTTCGCATGTAGAAAGCATCCGGAAGGTATGTCTGAAGCTTCCAATACTAGTCAGAGCCAACAAAGCTCAATCCTTTCATATATTTTCATTACCTTAACAACTTCATGAAATCTGGAAAGTAAATTGTGAATGAAGAAAATGTACTTTTTATCTCTTTGAAAAAATTCTTCATAACCTTAAAGGCAATTCGACCTTCCCTTTGGCGTACCGACAACCTTGCCTCTGTGAGTGTGGAAATTTTAATATTAAATATTTAAGGCAATTTCAATATTGATTCTACTTGATGCTTGATCGATCCAAGAGGGCATCAAAGTTTCATGAACCTTTCATGGACGTTCTTTTCGCCTATGGGTCTTTCCTATTACATAATTACGAAATTTCGCTTGCCAAGATTGTTTTGTCTGGGACACATGGCCAAAATATTTAAATCCGCCCTCATTTCTCGGCCGAGTTCTTCATATTTTAATTTACAAACAGCAAATTCTAGAATGAAAAATTAATAATACCCGAAAAAGGTTTTAGAAGATAAATAATTTAAATCTACTTAAAAAGTAAAGAATTTATCATTGAAATACAGGGAACTGATTGCGTCAAACACGCTTAGAACAACTCAAAATCTACATACTTATGTAGGTATTTTTTCCGACTTATAGAGTTTCAAAATTTATTTTCAATTTTTTATTAGAAATTTCTATATATTTTCATACATATTTTTTCAACTCTTAATTCCTTACAATAGTTGTTTTAATACGAAAAATATTTGTTTTTCCATTATTTCAAACGAAAATTTCTTTTTATAGCATAATGAGTTGGAATTTGTGCAAAAATTTTGTTACATACTTTTTTTCTGCACTGTCGAAGCGATTTGTTGGCACGCTGTAACATAAATAAAAACGCGTAACAAAAAAAAAAAAAAAAAACAAATGAAAAAATTACAATAAAATACCACTCGCATATTTTCAATTATTATATTTATTAACAAATAATAAATGTCATTTAACTTAAACAATTAATTTTTGATTTAAAAGTGTAAACAATTTTTATTTCAATCATTTGGAATGTGATTTTGCGTTTTTCAATTTATCAATATGAATTTATTAAATTAAAGTTGATTATTTGAAATATTTTCTTTTATTGCTGTTTTATTTTTAAATTTTTTGATGAAAAAATTTTATTTACTGAAAAATAAAATTACTCGTTACATTGGCACAAATTGCATATTTTTTGGCGCAATCACAAAATGAATTTTTTGCATTTTACGCTATGAAGTATACAAAAAAGAAATTATATAATATATAAGCTTAAAAATATTTAAAAAAGAAATATATAACAAAAAATGTTTCACTTAAATACGCATAAAATTTCCATTTATTGGAAAACGATTTTTGAAATGCACTTTATATGTATATACTTGTATGTATGTCATGTGCTACCAACAAAACATAAACACCTTATTTGTATGTATGTTATGTCTCCACACTTTCTCTCTACATATATATATTTGTGTTTATTGATAATAGCACTAAGTTATAGTTTCAATAAATTGCAATTATTATAAGTGCATACAATTTTTAAACGTTTTCCACACACCAAGTAACCGAAAAAATCACAATTTTTTACCTAAACTTCTTTTATAAACGCTACTTTTTGATATTACCTGCACATACATACTATATATACTCATTGTCTGTATATATATGTAAATATTTATATTTGCTATTGTTGAGTCTTGCACAATTTTCTTGCTTCCTTTTCGATATTTTCGATCCGTCACTTCACTTAATGTGTAATTGCCATTTTATCTATTTTCGTTACGTGCGCTTGCTTCAATTATATTATTTCATAAAAGAAAAAAATACCAATTAAATGTAATGCTATGTTTTATGAACTCTTAATTGCTGTAAGTAGTTTATAACACACTCTTCTACTTTTTTTGTTTATGTTGTTTTTTTTTTTTTTTGCTTTATTCATAAATGTATTCATTGCTTTCCATACAAAGCTGAATCGTTGATATAATGAAAGAATTTAATTCATTGAATTTAATTACATTATTGCTTTTGTTTATTCTTTTTCACAAAATGTGCATGTGTGTATTGTACACACATATATTTATAATTATGTAGCTGTTATCGTTATTCTTTTTTCTGATGTATTTGCCACCCTGCCCTACCTGATTTACCAGGTCTGAAGCCACACTGATAAGGTGGGATCCCAGTTCGGATGAATTGAGCATAACACACTTTCGTCTGACTATATTCTGCAAATGTACCTTGTCAGCCATTCAGCGCCATGTCTTGAACCCTCTACCCGTAGGCCAATAGCTGCAACTGTTGTAACCGAGAATTTTCGAACATTACCCTTGTCGGCCAGCTTCTCAAGCTCTTCATACTCGAGCTTTCGGGCCTCTTTTTTTTCGTTTGTCTGCACATACAACTATCCCATCCCGCACATGTAATGGTCGATCGCTACAATGCGAGGTAGGCAGCCTGCTTTCTCGCTTTCTCTCTACTGCGGGGCGGCAGTCCTCATCCTTTCCAATATCCAATATTTTCGTTTGCAGCTGTGCAGCAAGCAAACCGTGCGTGATACACAGAGGCGGGTGCGTATCTCCATTGCAACAAGATAGTGGTCCGAGTCGATATTGGGCCCTAGGAGTATCACACGTCAAAACCACTGGATACATGTCTTCCGTCTATCACAACATGATCGATGTGGTTTTGCGTTTTTGGATCCGGGGACATCCGAGTAGCTTGGTGTATTTGCTTGTGCTGGAATCTAGTGCTACAGACAACCATATTTCGGAGATGTTTCGTGGTGGAGGCTGAATTTTCCGATGGTTGTGCTGAAGATACCTTCTTTGCTCGCCCGGGCGTTAAAATCGCCAAGCACGATTTTCACATCATCACGGAGGCAGCTGAGTTATCATTGATCACGTCGTCCTACTCTTCCGTCGGGGCGTGATCGGAAATCAGCGATATAAATATTAAAAAATTTCCCTTTAATGGGGATTGTGGCGAAACATTCATCCACCGGCATTAATGTCAGTACTAAGCAACGGGGTCTCTCTCTCACCGCTAATCCCACACAAAATTTTCGCTCTTTTATATGGCCGCTTTCGTGCTTGTTTAGTCTATTCATTTTAATCCTACGATAACAGCAACTTTCTAGGCTGCGGTACTTTTCCAATTAAGGAACTGTACCAATACCATACCAAAATCGTGATCCTAAAATCATTTGCGGAGGTCGTGAACAGAAGGAGGCACCTCTTATAATAATTCATAAGTCATTTTTTCATTGGATCTGGTTTCTAAGTAGAGAGGATGTGCATTCTTAAACAATGGGAA